CCACCCCCCCGTCCCTAACCCGGGCCCAGACGCGGCAGGCCGGCGCGGTCAGGGGCCGCTGACTCACAGGCTGACTCAGCGGGAGGCGCGCTGCCAGCAGACGACCGCTGGAGGCCGGCGGGGCGCCAGGCGTGCTGGCGGCGGTGTCGGCGGCCGTGCTCGGCGGCCGTGCTCGCGACGGGAGCGGACGCCCCGCCGCAGGAGCGGCCCTTCCGGCTTCCGACCTCCGCGGAGCGGGACGGAGGACAGCCTGGAGGACGCGGGGCACTGGGCGCGAGGGGCGGCCGGAGGGGGACCGGGCTGTGCACCTGCCCCGAGAGGCCCCGGTGCCGCGCTCCGCCCTGCTCTTCACACGCCCTCTCCCCGGACTCCAAGCACCACCGCCGCCACCCCGCGTCCCGTCCTTCGCCTCCGCGCGCCAGCCGAGGCCCGCCTCCTCCAGGAAGCCTTCCCAGAAGACCTCCTCCGGGCTGGGTTACCTGGGGAAGCCTCCATCCTGGCACCTTCGGCGTTGCTCTGTGCCGTCCTGTTTTGGGTCTGGCTTCATCACCAGACGGTGGGCCCCTTGAGGACAGCGGCCAGGCCTTCGTGGGCTCTGCATCCCTTGGCTTAAACAGAGCCCAGGCAGAGGAGGACGTGGGACATGTATACGCGTGACCAACTTTAGAGATCCAGCCTGGGGACACAGCCACGTCAGACCCCCAAAACCCGTAATAATATGTTAAAAATAATTATACACATACATGTGTATATGTTGCTTTAACATAGAAATATGAAAAAGTTTATTTGAAATCATGTTAGAATTATAAATAGCATCAAAATATGAAAAATAGGTGTTTATTGTAAATTATATATTCTGTATTATTTACTTTTGTGTTACATAAATGCTATTATTTAAACAGAACAATAGGAAAAAAATAAAAATAAACAGAACAATAGGATTAGTAACAACGGCAAATAATAATTAGTAGGACTACTTTGTGAGAAAGAAATATAGCTACATGTTTCTAATCTCTGATACAGCGATTTATTTTAACTCATTGGATACTTAAAATTTGTATTGAGATACATACGTGTAAAAGGCTACATATGGTATGATTCCATGACATTCCTATATGACATTCAGCAAAATGCAGAAGTATGGAGACTGTAAAAAAAGATCAGTAGTTGCCAGGGGTTGTTGGGGGGAAGGCAGGGCTAAACAGATGAAGCACAGATGATTTTAGGGCAGTGGAAATATTCTGTATGATACTATAATGATGAATGGTGTCATTATACATGTGTCCAAACCCACAGAATGTACCACATCAGGAGCAGACCCAAATGTAAACTATGGGCTTTGACTGATTATGATGTATTAATGTAGGTTCATGAGTTATAACAAATGTACTCTCTGGTGGGGATGTTGATGATGGGGAGTCTGTACATGTGGGGGTGCAGCATTGGGGGGTATATGGGAAATCTCTGTACCTTCCCCTCAATTTTGTGTGAACCTAAAACTGCTCTACAAAAAGTCTTTTTAAAAAAAGATACATACATGTAAGACTTTTTAAGAGAATGTGAATCCAGTAGGACTAAACATAGTACCAATATTTAATTTAAAAAAATAACAATGACATTTCTGTCCTATGATGCAGAGGAGATTTTTACCTCTCTGTTTCCTTGCCTGCAGCTTTTAGGAAACCCTTCTTTGATGTAGTGATCAAACTGCATATCGCCAAACAAAATTCTTTGACTTGCAATCCTGCTCTTATTAAGCCCACATTACACTAATTCCGGCTGTCAGTCCAATGTGATGGCATCGAGCTAATGATTCTCTCAACAAAATCATTTGAGCATGGAATACTTAGGATCTTACTAACAACAGCAGGTTTTTAGACTTGTAGGGATTAACTTCCAGCTCTCCATCCTCTTTGTATCTATAGGCTGATTTCGGTAAAACAGCTTTTTGTCAGCTCCTTTGCATCAATAAATTCAACACCCAAAGTTCCATCTTTTTAAACATTTTGAAGCATACTGGGTGTCATAAATTAAAGCGTGTGTGCGCTCTCTCTCTCTCTCTCTCTCGTACTTGCGTGTGTCTCAGAGAAAATGACTTTAAAGCATAGAAGTATTTGAACTTGTGATATTAAAGTTGAATCACAAATAAGTTCCAGTCTTAGTAAAGAAGTGAGAAAGTCCTGTTTAAATTGGTTGTCCCTCTTCTGGTGACATTTTGTTTTATTTCCCCAAAACTGAGTCACTTTTTATTACATGAGGTTTTTTTTACTTCCTACACAGAACACTGAACAACTCAGGTGCCATCAGATCATCCTTTTTCAAGATCCTTCTGGCCTTTTCAAAGATCAGCAGTTTTGGAAGAACCATTCAGAAATGTCCATTCGAATGCAGTCCTTGCCTCCCTTCTCATTCTCAATACTATTTTCAAATTAGAGGACATTCTTCTTGTCCTACACTTTGAAAATATGATTTGATGATAGCCTAACTTTTTACCGTCTCTTCTATGACTAGCAATGATGACAGCCCTCTTGTAGGCTTCCGTCTTGTAGGAAGGAGTCGTCTCCTTCCATTTCTAGAACATCAAATAGCTCATTGGGGGCTTTGGCACATTTTGAGGAAACAGAAATAACCAATCCTGTCCTTGGGAAAGCCTCAGTCTCACAGGAAGCAAACCACACTCCTTGGGCCATGTGTATACAAGGTGTGCAGGACATTTAGCAGGTAGGATCTTTTCATTTTCTTTGGTAAGAGTTCATAGACTGATCAGAATTTGCAAAAATTTACACTTGCACTGTCAAATATGCGGACAGGTGACCAAAGGCTCCTTCGTGTTTGTATATCATCGATGCTTTAAAAAATTTTTTCTGAAGTTTCATCAAAATCCTCACAGAAATCAAAAAGACCATTCGAAACTCCACTTTTCAAATCAAAGTGCTTGCTTGAGAGGCAGGAGAACATTTCTTTATTGCCATGATTGGACTCAGCCCCTGGCATCCTGTAGAAAGCGTGATTGTTGGTAGGATCTGACAGAATCAGCTCTATACACTGTGAAGGACCAATACATCTGTTATCAAAATTTCACCTTTGGTTCACCCACAGGATATTTCAGGTACAGCATCTGAAGGAGGAAATGTAACTTTACTCAGTGTCATAGAACAATCAAAGGAGCACATTCACCCATGTGGTGCACCCACGCTAATTCAGCGGCCACTATTTTCAACTGAGAATTGGTGTCATCGGGGGAGACCCCCCAAAAAAACAAACAAAAGCAAACAAAAAAACTCTTTTGATTAAGTTAGAGGTACCTGCTTGTTTCCTTCAGGACCTGTGAGAATCAGTTTCTTCACGTGCTTTTACATTTCTTTGCCCCCCCCTCCCGTGCCCAATCCCCAATTCTTCTCTGTATGTGGTGCAGATTCCCTTTTTGACGATTTACCTCCCTAACTCTGTTGTATGTGTTATCCAGCTGCCACTGAAATAACACAGTCGTTTAGTTTTCTTTTTTTTTTTTTAAGATTTTATTTATTTGTCAGAGACAGAGAGAGAGAGCACAAGCAGGGGGAGCGGCAGGCAGAGGGAGAAGCAGGCTTCCCGCGGAGCAGGGATCCCAGTGCAGGACTCCATCCCACATGACCTGAGCCAAAGGCAGACACTTAACCCACTGAGCCACCCAGGCGCCCCACGTTTAGCTTTCTAAATGACCATGATGTCTGGTGTATTGTAATCATGCTCGTGTTCATCATCTGAACTCTTAAAAAAAAAAAATCATGGTCACAATATTCATCATGTTAAAAATTAAACTAGGGCGCCTGGGTGGCTCAGTCGGTTAAGTGGCTGCCTTCGGCTCAGGTCATGATCCCAGGGTCCTGGGATCGAGCCCCACGTCCGGCTCCCTGCTCGGCGGAGAGCCTGCTTCTCCCTCTCCCTCTGCCTGCCACTCTGCCTGCTTGTGCTGTCTCTCTATCTGTTGAATAAATAAATAAAATCTTTTTAAAAAAAATTAAACTAGCACTGTTTAGATACAAAGCACAACAGTGAATCCACAGGCAAAGTGGACGTTCGCCCTCCAGATGCCAGCACACTTAAGTCATGGGGGAGGGGGTTAATAATGGCTGATGCATGCTCACGAACTGCCAATCATGGCTGTCACCGTCAGCAACAGCAGGGACTGGGGAAAGTTCTGGGTCCATTTGGTACTAAAACCAGTGTGGCTTTCAGCCCTTCTTTTGGGGGTCACCTTTGTGTTTTGCACCTTTCCCCTAACCTTCTGTACCTATCAGTGAAAACCGGGAGTTTTCTCATCCGAGGGTAGAGTTTACCAGATAGAGGGCTTTTCGGGCTAAAATCAGAACAGTCCCAGACAAACTGGGATGGTCGGTCACCCCAGGACATGCTTGTGGAATCAAGAAATAAGTCGAAGATAATACTGTATGATCTCACTTACATGTGGAACCTAAAAATTTATGAGTTCATCATAGATTCAAAAACAGATTAGTAGGGATGCTATGGGTCATCCGCCTTCGGCTCAAGTCATGATCCCAGGGTCCTAGGATCAAGTCCCGCATCGGGCTCCTTGCTCAGTGTGGAGCCTGCTTCTCCCTCTGCCTGCTCCCCCTACTTGTGTTCTCTCTCTCCGTCTCTCTCTCTCTGACAAATAAATAAATAAAATCCTTAAAAAAAAAAAAACAACAGATTAGTGGTTACCAGAGGTGGGGGACAAGAGGGAAGGTGGTCAAAGGGTACAGACTACCAGTTATAAATAAGTTCTGGGGTTGTAATGTGCAGCATGGTAATTAGAGTTAATCATTCTGTAGTGTATTTGTGAAAGTCATGAAGACAGTAGATTTAAAAAATTCTCATCTTGGAATGCCTGAGTGGCTCAGTCGGTTAAGCGGCTGCCTTCGGCTCAAGTCATGATCCCAGGGTCCTGGGATCGAGCCCCATGTTGGGCTCCCTGCTCAGTGGGGAGTCTGCTTCTCCCTCTCCCACTCCCCCCCTCTCATGCTCTCTCTCTCTCACTCTCTCTCTCTGAAATAAAATAAATAAAATCTTAAAAAAAAAAATTCTCATCTCAAGAAAAAAATTGTAACTGTGTGAGGTGATGGATGTCAACTCTACTTATTGTGGTAATCATTTTGCAATATATACATATATCAAATCATATTGTATGCCTTTATCTAATACAATGTTATATGTTTTATCTCAGTAAAACGGAAAAAATAAGTCTCAATATAAAACAATCAATGTATTTCTGTATACTAGCAACACACAACTGTAATTGAAATATGTAAAAATGCCATTTACAATAGCATTAAAAAAACATAAAATAAGTAGGGATAAATTTAACAAAATATGTTCAAGATCTATATACTAAGAACTATCAAACATTGGCAAGACAGGTTAACAAAGACCTAAATGGGAATACCAGGCTAATGGATCAAAAGACCCACCAGTAAGATGTCTCCTCTCTCCAGATTGTTCTATAGAATCAACTCAGTCCCATTCAAAATCCCAGCAAACTTTTTTTATGTTTTAAAGAAATTGACAAGCTGAGTCTAAAATGTATATACAAATGCAAAGGACCGGGGCGCCTGGGTGGCTCAGTTGGTTAAGCATCTGCCTTCAGCTAAGGTCATGGTCCCGGGTCCTGGGATCCAGCCCTCACTTCATGGTCCCGGGTCCTGGGATCCAGCCCTCACTAGGCTCCCTG